AAATATCATCTGAGGGATTCCAAAACCCTTCAAAAATTCTACGCAGGAGTAAATCACTTTGCCCATGTTCGATGTAGGGCACAGCAACTAGTGAGACACTTTCAGCAATGCTATATGATCATTTCAGGACTTCCTGTCCAGACATAGTTTGGCACAGAAAATATATCACAGCCAAATTAAATTGCAAATCCCTACACCCCCAATGCAAGGAAAGTCCGGCAGTCACAGTAACACCTTGTGCAATCTCACCATACCTAAACGGCTCCAAAGAATAAAGAATGCCAGGTACGTTCAAAAGCACCAAGGAGGATTTCAGTTATTTATGAGCCTCTGAACTAAGTAACTTTGAATACTTTACCGCTGGGATAATAAGGCTATCAGCTCTACCTCTGGAGCGACAGGCCCTTCACTAGCAGCACGTGGGACCTCCCTAATCTAAGAAGGAACAAATAATGCATGCAGACAGAAACCTCAGCAAGAGAAACAAGTGATCAGTATCTTATCTGAAACTTTATTCATGGAGATCAATTGTGTGTCCTCAAGTGGGAACCAATGTACTGTAGGAGGGTGGAGCGAGTGAAAAGCCTCTCAGCATGAGGCAGTGTTAAGGGATGGGAAATCTAAATCTTCAAAGACAGTGAGTAGACAGTGCAACTGCCTCTTTCCTTTGGAGCACAAAGCAGAAGCCCCTAAAGTTAGCTTTGCACTGTGTTTGTAAACCTGCAACACTATTTTGCTGCTCCAGTGAGAGATGGCCTGTACCAGCTTCTGTTGTTCACTTGAATGAATGCTTCTAATGCAATCTTTCCTGCAATTTCCCACAAAAGGTCAAGTCATCCACCTCCTTGGGATATCCACATCTTAAACATCTTTAAACATACAAAGACTCCTAAATAATAGTGATTTTTCAGAACTTTTTGAAACTTCCAGATCTTGCTCAGTTCCTTCAGCAATAAAACCTGTTACCCGATGGGCAAGTCTGCAAAAATCTTATTGCCAAATAACGTTTGACATACAAATCACCTCCGCACTCCTGAGTTCTAGCTCAGACTGATACACTATGACAAATCACAACCTCTGCCTCGCTTTTTCGGTCTATAACATGGGGGTAACAATCACCTGCCTTTGTTGTTATTATTTGCATTACCACAGCACTTAGGAGTCCTAGTCATGGACCGGGACCAACTGTGCTGTGCACTATACAAAAACAGAACAAGAAGATAATCTCTGTCCCAAGCATCTTAAAATCCAAGTATAAAACAAGAGACTGATACACACAGAGGGGAAGCACCAGGAAACAATGAGACGATATTTGTTAGCATTTGCCAGAATGGCTCTAACAGTATCACCGCCTGATACAAAGCATAATAAACTCATGCTACAGGGCTCATTGCTCAATAAGAACATTTGGGGGTAGAGTCAATGAAGAAAACTCCCCTCCCCCCCCACTCCTTAAAGCACCGCAGAAACTTTAACAGAAGTCAGAAAACAAAAAGCCATACCAGCAAACTCCCCCTCCCACCCCATACCCGATTCTTCCCCTAATATTACTCTTATTCCTCACTGGTACATCTACTCCAGCACTAAATATTTCACAGACAAACAAGTTATCATATTAAACTAAATTTGGCATCAGAATTGCAGGCCCAGAGGGAAGTAATAAGTACAGTATGAAACATGCATAACTTAATATGCAATTTCAGTAGGATATGGTTCTATTACTTTCTTGTCCTAAACCCTTATGCAGTTCCTAGGCACCGGTTTAACAGCTGCCATGTTTCAATCCTGGCACAGCAGCATTTCAATGGTGAATTAAATAACCATTATGTATAAAGCTCAGCAAGAAACTACTGATATAAGTATCTGTTCTGATCCCAACCCTGCAATGAGCTCTGTGCAGTGCCCCACAGACTTCAGTGAGGCTCTGGGTAGGCCCAGGGTTCCACCTACCAAGAATTCACTCCAGGATCATACTCTAGTTTGTGCAGCCCTTCAGAACCCTTATGGATTAAGCACTATTAAAAATGCAGAATATTAGTCCAGGAGTCTGACATCTGAAACGCTATCACACAGAAACAGCGACAGTCTGATCTAACTGAAGTTTCTAACTGGTATTTTGGTCACTCATTTTACCTGTATATTTCTTTTTAAATTGTAAAGCATCTTGTACTTCGAGGCAGATGCTATATAAATAAAATAGTGATTCCAGTTTCCTTCCATTGTGTCCCTGGTATTCTAGAATGAAATGAACTAGAGAAATGAAAAACATTATCAAATCAGTTTGACTTCTGAATTATATGCCAAAAAGGGAAACACTATATTTATATAGGATCAGACAAAGCCACAGTGCTCCACAACTATGTTATGACACGACCACTACACCTCAAGGAGCTTGCAATTTAATTTACTATCATTTTAATTTGATGTTTTTAATAATTTACTCTGCAGTTACTCTTCACTTTCTGAACTTATTTTCCACTGCTTTTCATTTCACGGGTAGAAGAGATTCCTGTCTATGCAGGCTAGTAGGTATTTTGGGAAAAGGGAGACAAAGAAATGTAAGATTTATAATAATCTATGTGTTCCATCAAAAATCCTGGCTCAGCTGCATTTTGTAGAGCAGAGATCTCTCAGTCAAATGCACGATTGCAAGAAGTGTTCAGAGCACAAAACAGATGGAGGTGACCTGGGTTCTATTCCCAGCTCTGCCAGACTCCCTGCGTGACTTTAGGCAAGTCACAGCATGACTCAGCCTCAGTTTCCCTTTCTGTTAGAAGGGAATGATGATATTTTCACACCCCCTCCATGAAGCTTCATTAACATTTGAAAAAGGCTCTAAGGTCTCAGATGAAAGGACTACAGAAGGGCAAAGTATTTAGAATGATTATTCTGCACTGCTGGGGAGCGTGTGCACTGGAAAGAGCCTGGCACAGAGGGATAGTCTGTAAGAGTTATGCCACATTTCGCAAAGAGGCAAATACATTTCAGTTATGGATGAAATAATTCATGGGTATAGAAAATACAGATTTTCGCAAAATGCTGAGAGATAAAGCACTACCGAAATCTTAATGTGGTATTAGCGACCATTATTCTTGTTTTTGCAAATACAGACTAACACGGCTGCTACGCTGAAACCTGTCATTATTTTACTGGGAAGCTCTGAACAGATAGAAAAGGAGTACTTGTGGCACCTTAGAGACTAACCAATTTATTTGAGCATAAGTTTTTGTGAGCTACAGCTCACTTCATCGGATGCAACAAGGTGCCACAAGTACACCTTTTCCTTTTGCGAACACAGACTAACACGGCTGTTACTCTGAAATCTGAACAGATAGTTTCAAAGGCTACATAAATATACTGTAACATGCGATTCTGAACTGGTGTGGATGTCAATGAACCAGAATGATCCCTCAGGAGCTACAAGTACCATATATTATTATTCCAATTTGCTGCAGGTTCCTGTGAATATCTTGGTAATTAGAGCTCTACCTAAACTCAGATTATGCTGGATTGTGAGGAGCATGTTATGTAATAAATGCATGAGATGCACAGCACTACAGAAGTGTAGAAGACTGGATCATTTCCTTTAATTCACCCTGTTCCAGGCCAGAGACTATTAGCACTGGGTCCCCTGATGCTGCGCATAGTTATGTTTCCAGATACAGTCAGTAAAGCCCTTCAGAGCTCACCTGAGCAAAGGGTGCCACGCACAAGCGTCTGCACAATTGCTACAAGCAGTCAGGAGTGCCTTTCTAAAGCAACCTGGTGTACGGAACGCGACTGAAATAAACCCACGGCTGTTATATCTACCAGCGGGACACGAGGGCGGCCCCGGGGGTGAAGGAGTCACTGTGCAGTGACAGGAGGAGAAGTCTAGAAGCTCCCAGCGGCCAGCACTGGCATCAGTCTGCTCGGGAGAGGGAAGGGCAGATCCAGCAGCGGACAATGGGGATGAGCCGCCCACAGGGCCAGAAAGGTTTCACGCCCTGAGGGCCAACAGCAGCGAAGAGGGTGGCTCTCGCCAGGCGCCGATGGGCTCACCCCGCTGCGGGCTCTCGAGGCCAGCAGGGCTGGTGGCTTTGAGAGGCTGCGCCCAGAGCAAAGGGATCAGCCAGCGGGGCTGCGCGGCCCCTGGGGGGAGGCGCTGGGCCCCCGCAGCGAGACCCCCGGGCAAGCACACGGCGCAAGAAGCGCGGCCAGGGAGCGCAGGGCCCGGGGGGAGCGCGGCGGCAGGCAGCTGCCTGGCCATTGTGCGGGGCGGGGCGCCCCCCACGCAGGGGGCAGGGGCGGCAGCCAGGGAGCTCCATCCGGCGGGGAGGTCAAGGCGGCAGCGGCCGAGGGCGCGGGGCCAGGCCGGGCAGCTCCCTCGGAGCCGGCAGGACGGAGGTGGGGGGGAGGGTCGGAGCCCGGCCGCGGCGCCGCTTCCGCCCTCATGGCCGCTGCCGCCATTCCCCGCCCCCCACCATCGCCCCCGGGCCCGGGCCCGGCCGCCCGCCCGCGACCCCCTCCCCGGGCCCGGCCGCGCGCACTACGCGAGTCCCCGGCTTCGGCCGGGCCCACTAGGCCGCGAAGCCGACCGTAAACAAAACCCGCCGCACGGCGTCCGGATCCGGGCAGGGAGCGGGGCCGGGGCCGCCTCCCCCTGGCCCGGGGCCCACGCCGGCCGCTGCCGCCCTCCCCGGGCTGAGGGAGGGGCGCCCGGCCGGGGCCGGGATTTAAAGGGGCCGCGCGCAATTACCGGGGCCGCCGCCGCCTCCGCGTTACCAACTTTACCTGAGTCTCCCCCACACTGACAACTACCCAGCGGCGCCCGCCCCATCACGTGACCCAGGAGAGGGCGGGGCCAGGCCGGCTTCAGGCCGCCCCCGCCACGTGACGGGGGCCTCTGTCGCCGCTCCCGCCTGTCACGTGGCTCGGCCTCGCGCCTCTCCTTGGCCCGCCCTGGGTCACATGGTTTCTGGCGGTTGGCCGGGCGCGCCCCCCCCGCCCCCGTTTCCCGCCCGCCCCCGTCACGTGACGCGGCCGCACTGTGGCCTCAGCGGCCGCCATGTTGTTGCGGGGCCCCGGGTCGGGCCGGGCCGGGGATGGCGACGTCCGGCAGCAACTGGCTCTCCGGGGTCAACGTGGTGCTGGTGATGGCCTACGGGAGCCTGGTGAGGCCGCGGCCCCGGCCTGAGAGTGGGGGCGGAGCGAGGCGCCTGCCCGGGCCCGCATCGAGGGTGGAGGAGCGGCGGGGGGGGCGTCCCGCGCTGGGGTCCCGTTGGGGGGAGGGGCCCCCATAGTGGGCGGGGGGGTCCCGCGCTGGGGTCCCGTTGGGGGGAGGGGCCCCCATAGTGGGCGGGGGGTCTCGCGCTGGGGTCCCGTTGGGGGGAGGGACCCCCATAGTGGGCGGGGGGGTCTCGCGCTGGGGTCCCGTTGGGGGGGAGGTACCCCCATAGTGGGCGGGGGGTCCCGCGCTGGGGTCCCGTTGGGGGGGAGGGACCCCCATAGTGGGCGGGGGGTCCCGCGCTGGGGTCCCGTTGGGGGGAGGGGCCCCCATAGTGGGCGGGGGGGGTCCCGCGCTGGGGTCCCGTTGGGGGGAGGGGCCCCCATAGTGGGCGGGGGGTCCCGCGCTGGGGTCCCGTTGGGGGGGAGGGGCCCCCATAGTGGGCGGGGGGTCTCGCGCTGGGGTCCCGTTGGGGGGAGGGGCCCCCATAGTGGGCGGGGGGTCCCGCGCTGGGGTCCCGTTGGGGGGAGGGGCCCCCATAGTGGGCGGGGGGTCTCGCGCTGGGGTCCCGTTGGGGGGAGGTACCCCCATAGTGGGCGGGGGGGTCTCGCGCTGGGGTCCCGTTGGGGGGAGGGGCCCCCATAGTGGGCGGGGGGGTCTCGCGCTGGGGTCCCGTTGCGGGGAGGGGCCCCCATAGTGGGCGGGGGGGGCCCGCGCGACCTCTCCAGTGTCCCCTGCCCCCTCCCAGGGGAGACGGCGGTGGGGGGGCCCCTTTAAAAGGGCCGTCGCGGGCTGCACCCTCGGGCTCCCCGCCCGCTGCTCTGAAATCAGCCCCCGGCCTCTCCGCTGGCGCCTCGTCCCCCCGGGCATTGGAAGCTGCAGCCGGGACCCTTCGCAGGGCGGAGGCCCGGCTGGGGCCCCGGCCCCCGAGGCAGGAGGGTTTGGCTCTGCTGGGTTCTAACCGCGTCTCTCTCTTGCTGTGTTTGACTAGGTGTTTGTGCTGCTCTTCATCTTTGTGAAAAGGCAGATAATGCGCTTCGCCATGAAGTCCCGCCGGGGGCCCCATGTGCCGGTTGGACAACACGCCCCCAAGGTCCGTGTGTGGGGCTTGCCTCCTGCTGGCTGCGGGGGGGGAGGTTATGCGTTGGGCGATCGATCTGCTTGTTTCCATAAGGCTTTGTGTGTGCTGATGCTTCCTATTTTCCTACGCTGCAGCTATATCCCAAGCTAAACAGGGCCGGGGGGCAGTTCTTAGATGGGAGACCTTCAGGGAACAGCCAGGTGCTGTAGGAGATGGTCTTGGCTCTTCTTTTCCCCATGATGCACCATGCACCCAATGCTCCAGCCAGGAGCTAAGGAATGCCCTGCTCCTGGAGGATACCATCTTTCTGATGAGTCTTAAAATCAATGCTCTTGTTACAGGTTCTGTGATGCACTTTGTAAGAGTCAGGACATCAGCTGTGGTGTCCTGGCTAAAGGAAAGCTCTGATGGCCATGTCTACACGCGGAGCACTCCAGCAGCACAGCTCTGGCCCTGTAGTTATGCCGATGTAGGGCTGTAGCGCTGAGTCTTCCTGCAGAGACCAAAGGGGGTTTTCTGTCACGGTAGGACCTCCACCTCCCCGATGATAGCTGGGTCAATCAAAACGTTCTTAAGTCGACCTAATTGTACCTACTCTTGGGGCTAAGTCGGGGTAGCTGTGGCTCTGAGGTGTGAATTTTTCACACCGCTGAGCGCCATAGCTATGTTGACCTAACTTAAAAAAAAAAAAAAAAAGGAGTACTTGTGGCACCTTAGAGGCTAACCAATTTATTTGAGCATGAGCTTTCGAGAGCTACAGCTCACTTCATCGGATGCATACAGTGGAAACTGCAGAAGACATTATATACACACAGAGACCATGAAACAATACCTCCTCCCGCCCCACAGTCCTGCTGGTAATAGCTTATCTAAAGTGATCATCAAGTTGGGCCATTTCCAGCACAAATCCAGGTGTTCTCACCCTCCTCCTTCCCCCCCCCCCCCCCCCCCCCCCCCCACACACACACACACACACACACACACACAAACTCACTCTCCTGCTGGTAATAGCCCATCCAAAGTGACCACTTTTTGGAGAAGTGAGAGAACCTGGATTTGTGCAGGAAATGGCCCACCTTGATTATCATACACATTTTGAAGAGAAAAGGAGTACTTGTGGCACCTTAGAGACTAACCAATTTATTTGAGCGTGAGCTACAGAAGTGAGCTGTAGCTCACGAAAGCTCATGCTCAAATAAATTGGTTAGTCTCTAAGGTGCCACAAGTACTCCTTTTCTTTTTGCGAATACAGACTAACACGGCTGTTCCTCTGAAACCTGTCATTTTGAAGAGAGTGGTCACTTTGGATGGGCTATTACCAGCAGGAGAGTGAGTTTGGGGGGGGGGGGCGCGGAGGGTGAGAAAACCTGGATTTGTGCTGGAAATGGCCCAACTTGATGATCACTTTAGATAAGCTATTACCAGCAGGACAGTGGGGCGGGAGGAGGTATTGCTTCATGGTCTCTCTGTGTATATAATGTCTGCTGCAGTTTCCACGGTATGCATCCGATGAAGTGAGCTGTAGCTCACGAAAGCTCATGCTCAAATAAATTGGTTAGTCTCTAAGGTGCCACAAGTACTCCTTTTCTTTTTGCAAATACAGACTAACATGGCTGTTACTCTGAAACCTAACTTTTAAGTGGACACCAGGCCTGATAGCTGTGCTCTGACTCTCTGAATTCTCCTTGACTATGGGAATCTTCACTTCCTGGATTAAATGGTCACAGTGTGTTACTTTCTATTGTTAAATAATTGCTGCATCTCAGGGCTGGGTGCAGTGATCCCTGTCTGTTGGGATTCATAGATGCTTTTGGGAAGGAGGGTGCTCTATAAATGTAAGATGCCATTGTTCTCTTCTGGACAGGACCTGAAAGAGGAAATTGACATTCGCCTCTCAAGGGTACAGGACATTAAGTATGAACCCCGGCTCCTGGCTGAAGATGATGCTAGGCTCCTGCAGCTAGAGACACCAGGAAGCCAATGTACTGTGTCTTCTAAATATATGCACCCTAACTTATTGATGAGTATATTGGGTGGAGGGGGAGGATGATCAAAGGGCTTCTTGTTCAGCCTTCCAACCTCCACAATGCAAATGTCCTCCCACTACTGCTCTCGGAATCTGGGAATTATGAAGTTACATTGCTAGCTTTTGAGCCTGTCTGGCTCTTCCCACAGTATTAACTGTCCTGCTGCAGTGTTGTTTGGGGCGCAGTCCTTCTCCGTGGGGCAGGTGGCGCTGTTGCTGAGCTGCTCATGGTTACCATGCAGCCTGTCACACCAGAACCTGGCATGATCCCTAACAGTTACTCTGACTTGGTTACAATCAAGCAGATTGCAGCCCTTCCCCTGTCTTTAATACACAGAAGCAGCCTGTGGCGACCAAGGCTCCCACCACACAGGCTGAAATGAAGCCATTCAGCTCAAAATGGAATAGTGTGTAGGGAGCTGTTGTTCCCCTCTGTCATATCACAGAGGAAAGCAGCCACAGCCCATGGTGTATAGCTTCTGGGCCACCTCTGCTCTGACACTCCCGACTTTACCTTTCTCACCAAGCAGAGCAGAAACCCCCAGACAAAGGAAACTGATTGTCAGTTACCATTGGTGCTGCATAATCGGATTAGTGTCATTCTGCGATTTGCACGGGGCTAGCCTCATTGCTGTGGGAAAGGCTCCAACAGGATAATCTCCTGTTCACGCAGCCCCCGCTTGTGCCAACTTGCTGGTGTGTGTGTGTTTTCTTTCTCCAGACCAGTTTGTGTTTTCTTTTCCAGGTTGCTATAACTACTTGTACAGAATGAAGGCACTGGACGCAATCAGAGCTTCTGGTAAGAGAAAGCCTTTAGGTGGGGAGCGTGGCCAGTGGGGGACATGCCTCTGGAGCCTAGGCCAATAGCCTTGTGCTAGCACAAGGGTTCTCCGCCTGGGGGCTGCCACCATATCCCTAGGTGGGAGGGATTCCCAACTAAGGAATTGGGGTCCTCACTAGAGGGGTAGAGATGTCTGCTAGAGGAAAAGGTTGAAAACTAGTACGTGACACAAATGAAGTGAAGTAGAAGCGAATTTGATCTGGTTAGTCAGTGCCAAGGTGAGTAAAATACAGAATGTAACACACAGCAGAAGCCATGGGAAGTTATTTACACTGCGTCTTTCCTGTCTAAACTATCTACAGTGCCACAGGAAAAGACATTCCTCAAATACTAAGCTGCCTGGCTTTCCGAAAGGATCTCACACTGTTGTGTGCCTCACTTTCTGGGTGTCCAATCTGAGACACCTGGGCTTGATTTTTCTGAGAAACTCCCCCAATTAGTAAAGGCTTCTGCAGACTTTGGCTGTAAAGTGTCTTTCATGTGCTCCCTTTTGATGCAGTGATTCGTTGAACCATCCTAGCTTCGGTGTCTCTGCCAGCAGCAAGAACCTGGTCTCTGCTGTATGATGCCTCCGTCAGAAAGGCAGAGGTGCAGGAGGAGGAGTTTGTTGGATGGTTTGGGTCGCTCATAAGGACGCGCGTTCTTCCAGGCCCCTGGAGTGTGTGTCACACTCTGACCCGCCATCACTGGCATCCTTGTGTCACTTTGTTTTTTCAGAGATCCCATTTTATGTAGAAGGCCGACACCCCCAGTCCTTAATGGGAAAGAATTTCCATGCCTACCTGTTGGAGCTGAGAAATTCCAGCACTCCATTCAGAGGCATTCGCAAAACCTTGATTGACACCCTCCTGGATGGGTATGACACTGCACGCTATGGGACAGGGGTGAGTGTCAGCCCAGATCTTCTCTTTGGTCTTTGCAAAGGGGGTGGATTCCCGCAGAGCCAGGTCTTTCGCCTTGCAGCATTGCACACATTTCCCCTCTGTTCTGCCTGCTGCTGCGAATAGGATCAAGGACAATGCACACCAAGAGTCCAGGGTCTCTAAGGCACTCTTCTGTTTGTGTTCAGGTCTTTGGGAAGACGGAATATCTGAAGTACCAGGGTGCCCTAACTGAGCTCACGAACATGTAAGTTTGACTGGCGATGGGAATGTTTAACATCCGGGCCTTGGTCTGCATGGCCATCCGTTGAAGGGGGTTGTGGATGGTGAAATTCTGCAGCGTAAGGATCCCATCTCTGTGCAGCTGGCTGTGTCTGTACAGGAACTGAGAAGGGGGAGGCCAAAACCAAACTGACAAAGTGTCCCCTTTAAGAAGGCCTCCAAAACAATCTGAGGCAGACAGTCTCCGTTTCCCTGAGGCATCAGGTCAGGGAAGGAGCCACTTGACCCAGTTCTTAAGGCCCTTACATCTGAGTGAGTCAGAGCAACCAAACTGACAGTCAGAAAAGCAAAGTCTGTAGGGCTCCGGTCAGGAGTGGCCTGGGGCCTGCAACCTATAGCGGCCAGCATGGCTTCTGATCCCATCCGTTGTTCAGTTTCCTTCTGGTGTTTTCCTTGACCGCACCTAGGCTGCCCCTTTTACAGGTTAAAGAGTACAGCCTGCCCAGACCTGCCTTCCGAGAGCCTGCACCCCGTTGATTTAACTGACTGGCACATCTAATTAGGCTTCTTGCAGTCTCATTATTCGCTCAGGAAGGCTTGCTCTCTGTTCCGGGTGGATTCAGTAACATCCCCTTTTCCTCCACAGTATCAAAGCGCGAGGGGGCAGCAGCCAGAGGCAGCACCAGTCAGCAGCGAAGGATCTCACGCTCTCGCCTGATGTCTCCAACTCAGCCACCATCCAGGTCACCTACCTGCCTTCCAGCCAGAAGAGCAAACGTGCCAAACACTTCCTGGAGCTGAAGAGCTTCAAGGACAACTACAACACGCTGGAGAGCACCCTGTGAGCTGTGCCAGGAGCACTGCTCCTGGGACCTGCCACCGAGAGCCCCTTGCTGGGTGGGGCAAGTCACAAGTGGCTTTTGGCAGCAGTCCATGTCCAGGTGGTAGCTGGAAGGCGGGAAGTCACTGGGCTCATGGATCACTCACTGCTGCATGGAGTTGGATTTAACAGCAACATCATGGCTGGGGATACCTGGCCTCTGGGCAGGAGGCCCTTTCTGAAGCCGTGTACTGGCTGCAGAACAGGGAGATGACCAGCAGCCGGCATGGGCCTGTGTTTTGGGCTCTGAAGAGATTCCAGGCTCCATCCCTTTTTAGTGGCTAGTGCCTCTCTGGAGCCCCTAGCCCTGTGAATAGACTATTGGAGTAGCTTTAGCATATTTATAAAAGACACTGCTCCAGGTCAGTGCTCCTGCACCCCTCTGCACTGACTGCGATGGCTCCATTCACTCCACTGACCCTCCATCACTCCCAGCAATGGCTCGCGGGCTGAGGCCAGCGGTGGTTTCCAGCTCCCACGCTGGAGCCATGGGCTGGGCTTTCCGAAGGTTAAACGCCTTGTGGGAGTTGGTTCCCTCTGATGCAAGGGGGGCCTGTGGTTCCATCCTCCCACTCCTTGTCAGCCTGTTGTGCTTGAATTGCCCGTTAGACCTGGGGGGGTTGCCTTGGTATCTTGAGCCTGTTTAAACCCCACCCAGACAGTAAATGGCTCAGTGTCCTGCTCTTGGGGGGTGAGGCTGCTGCTGCTAACTGTCTCTTCCACACACCCCAGCTGGGCAGCTGGGTGAAAATCTTCCCCGTTCCCTCCCGCTCTCACCAGCGCCTCGTGCCATTCACCATGGACTCCTCCAGGCCTCTCGGGGAAGGGGCTGCCGCAAGCAGCAGCACACCCTCTAGCTAAAGTTCCCAGGCTGGAGGCAAGCTGCGAGCCAGTCACCCGGGCTTGGCAGACACCTGCTCTGGGCCGGAGGAGGCGCCCCTGGCAGTCAGGCCTGCTCGCTCTCTTTTTAAATTGCTGTTTAATAAAAGGAACGTTCCCCTGCAGGCGACGTGCCCTTTGCTCTTTGACTGCAGGGAACCCTCCCTCGGACCCCACCTGCTCTAGGGCTGCACCTGCTGCTCTCAGGACAGCCTGAGCCTTGGCCCAGCCCCTGTGAGGTGGCTAATAAAGAGTGGGGGAAGTGTCTGATCCCGGGGGGGAGGTGGCCGGTGCAGTTGCCTGCGCTCTCCATGGAGCGGGTGCCAGGGGGTTCTGAGAAAGGTCCCTTACTGTCGCTGTACTGAGCAGGCTCCTGCATCACCTGGCCAAGAACAGCTGGGAGCCCCCCAGGCGCTGCTGCTGCCCGCTTCCTCTCCTGCTGCTCCTCCCCTTGCCAGAACGTGGGCCATTCCCTGGTGAAGGCTCTGCACAGCGCACCCTCCCCTCAGCAGCTGGCTGCAGTTGGGTTATACACGGCTACAGGCGCTGGGGATTCTCGCTGCACCCCGTGCTCCTTTCCCTGTCTCCTCCCTAGGAGAAGGGGCAGGGGCTCCTTGTTTTACACGTGGGGAGCAGAGGAGGTGACTCACCCACTGTGCCTACAGGGAGTGGATCGCAGAGCTGGGATGAAAAGGCAGAGGCTTGGCTCCCTCTCCCTTTCTCTTTGCCAATTGGGGTGGGGTCATTCCTGCACTGGCTCTCAGGGCAGGCAGATGGGGGCTGCCTCCCAGGAAGAGCAGTTCAGTTTTTTAGCTGACTTTGGGGGTATGTGTCTGAAGTCCCCAGGCCCTATTCTGCGGGGATGTGAGGGTGCAGCATTAACTGCTGGGAAAAGCACTTTGAGATCCTGGCATGAAAAGCAGCAACACTGGATGGCACATCTGCCCCAGAGGAGGGAGCAATATCTGCAAGGGGATGGATTGATGGGTGGGGGGAGTAATCCTATGCCCTTGGCCCACCCACTACCCCTGGGACTCCCCAGCATGGTGCCTCTAACTGTATTATAGGCTCAGGGGGCTGCACCCACTTCGCATGGGAGTGTCCCCAGGGCTCAGGGTTGGCCTGGCCCAGTGCAGTTGCTGGCCCTTTCGCTGTTCCCATCAGTGAGAGCTGAGTGCATTTGAAACCCCACCCTTTAGCCAAAGCCCAGTGCCCCCCTGCTGTATTTCCCACCCTTCGACCTCCCTGCTGCCATGGTGGGGATGGGCAGCACTGCTCCCGCCCCTGGAAGAAGAGGGTTGGGTATGGGCCTTTGAACTGGAAATGGGGATCTTAATAGATTTCCAGGGGCTGATGTACGGCAGGGGGAGAGCACGGGGGTGAGTGGCGGTCAGTGTTGGTTTAGCTCCTGCGCACACCTGTATCTCACACCTCATGTAAACTTATGGGCCTGGAAGAAATTCACAGTCACGGCGTATGCGAGCACGTGTGACTCAGCTTGCCACACTGGCCAAATGCAGGCAAACAGCGGCCCCTGACTCCAGCCCTCCTCCCCGCTAGTGCGGAGAGAGCTTGGAGACTGCAGGCCCTGCACAGGCTGATGAGATGGAGCGTGGCAGGCTGGGAACCAAAGGCTCTGGGGTTGGCACCTCCATTGCAGAGAAAGTGCATGGCTGCCACCTGTCGGTTCATGCCAGTCGGGTGCAGTCCTTGGGTTCTTTGCCAGCTGCCAGCAGCCCTTCAATCGGGCCTGGATGGTTCAGGTCGGTTGGCTGACCCTGTTCGAGATGGGGATCACAGTTATCAAGTATCAGTAACTGAGGCTGCCTGCGTGGGCAGCCAGAGCCTGGGCATTACAGACACCCCGCGCCTTCACCGATGGGCAGGGAACGGCTTTGTACAGTAGGTGTGTGCGTCGCATGGCACGTGGGGCCCTGCTCTCCTAGCAACATTTCCTTTGTGAGTGCATGGAGAGGGGCTCCCTGGCAAAGGGGGCGCATTTCCCTGCAGTGTTCGCAGGATCTGGCTAGTGCAGGCAAAGCTCCCGGCCCAAGAGCAGCAGGATTTGTCCCTGGCCTTCTGCAGCAGGGTTCCAGGGCAGCAGGCCCAGGGGCTGCCCTAGTTCAGGGGCAATTGGAAGAGACAGGAACAAACGCGGGGCTCATTAAATTGTCCTTGCCCTTTAATTGAGCAGGGGTCTCCCGCAGCTCCATGGATGGGGGACACTGGGCACCGGTGAGCACCCAGGCCCCCGCCACAGGGCGACTGAACTCTGCCCACGCCTCCTCCGGGCTACACGGATCACCCAGACAGAGCCTCCGGCTTTGTCTCACAGTTCTAAAGCTGCCATGGTGACCAGGGAACCAAACGGTACCGGGACGGCAGCCGCCCCCAGAGCGACAATGGCACCCGGCAGGGAAAAGCTGGGCAAGGGCAGCAATGTCCCCTCGCTCCAGCAGCTCCTGAGGGAAGAGGAGGTAGGGCATGGGGGGGGCAAGGCTGGAGCCAGGCTCTGGGGGGGGAGCGGTAGGGTGTGGACAGGGGGGGCAGGGCTGGAGCCAGGCCCCAGGGGGGAGCAGTAGGGTGTGGATGGGGGGGACAAGGCTGGAGCCAGGTCCTGGTGGGACCAACAGGATGTAGAGATGTGGGGGGGCAGGGCTGGAGCCAGGCCCTGGGGGGGGAGCAGTAGGGCATGGAATGGGGAGCGGGGGCAGGGCTGGAGTCAGGACCTGGGGGGGCCGGCAGGGTGTAGAGATGGGGGGCAGGGCTGGAGCCAGGGCTCGGGAGGGGCCAGCAGGAGGGCAGCCCCTGGGCACATAGAACGGAGGGGGACGGGGCCTGGGCCCCATTGATGGCAGCAGCAAGGCCGTAGACGTGGGGAGAGGCTGGCTTCCCATCTCATTCCTTAGGGTAGATTCTGCCCACAGCCACAGTCCCGGTCTCTTCTTCACGCTACCCCTGGCCTGAGAAGAGATATCCAATCAGCACCCCCTCACCCCGTCCTGGCGTGTCCCTGGGCCAAACCCGGCCCTCCCTGGGGTGTTAAGGGAGGGGACAGCTCCCAGCAGAGCTCCCCAGTCAGGCCCTGCGTTCCCTGCCCTATCCCCCGGGGCAACCTCCCTGCAGAGAGAAGCTGAAGGCTCACTCGCCCCCTCTGCCTTTAGCTCCCAGCTGGCATCTCCTGCTGCCCGCCCTGGAGCACTCTGCGGTCTGGAGGCCTCTGTTCTTGGGCCTGGCTCTGTTGCCTGGCCATGGGGGGCTCCCAGCGGCTCGCGAGGATTATAACACGCAGGTCCTGACTGCTTGTGGCTCTTCAAACTGTGGCACTTGTAAGACTCGGGGCATCAAGCCCAGCATCCCAGCGAAACCCAGCATGAGTATTTACATTCTACCCTAAACTATCGCGCAGTGAGGCTGTGCTCTGCTAGCCAGCTGCCAGGCTGCGCCCCAGAGGTGGCTGCATGGTAGTGCTGGGAGTCCTCACTCTCCTATTTTATATATCACTGTACAAAGCACTTTGTGACCCTTCAGGGTGATGGGTGCTAGGAGCTGTCACCCCACCCCTCACCACCCGAAATGGAAGGCGCTTTGAACCAATCAGTATAAGAAGCCTCACTTTCCCTTGCTGGGGCTTGGTGATTTTGCCTCCCAGCTGGCAGTCCTTACGATTCAGGGTAGCAATACAAACTGGGGAGAGGCTGGGCCCAGAGCTGAATGTGCCCTTTCGATTGCAGTTGGTGAAGAAGGAGGCTGCCTATGAGAATCTGGTTAAAAGGTAAATGGGTTTGTGGAGGGGGGTTTCTAGCTCTTTGTTACTGTGATTAAAGCCACTTCTCTGTGGAATAATAACGCCCACCACGGCCAGCAGCAGAACGCTGGCGAGGGGGGGGGTGGCGGGGGCTACTGACAAAGGGAACTGTGGGGGTAAGGTGACCACATTTTCCCAACGGGGAAACAGGACACCACATGGGGCCAGCCCAAGGGCAGTTCCCCCCCTCCCAGTGGGCCCCCACCGCCACCCACCTGTATGGGTCCAGCCTGAGGCCCCCCACCCCCTGCACAGGACCAGCCCAGGCCCCCCTGCCTGCCCACCACCACCTGCCGCCGTGCCAGCCGGGCGGGCAGAGATTGGCCAGGCAGCTGGGGCAAAAACATAAAGCAAAGGTCACAGACGCCCCACCCGCGACAGCCAGCCAGACGCCCGGGCCTCCAGCTCCCTTTAAACGCCACGTGTTTCCTGAGTGCAGCCCAGGGCCATTCGCCCTCCCCAGAGCAAAGCACTTGGCCCCTTCCCTCGGTTCCCGGGGCCTGGAGGAGGAGCGAGCGAGGGCGGGAGGCAGCTCCGTTGAACCCAGCTGGGGCTGTTGGAGGTGACGGGTGCTAAGGGCCCCTATTGACGGCCCCCGACATCCGCCCCCAGCTCCGTTCAAATCACAGGGGCTCCAGGCATGCAGTGGGGGCTGCTCATGTGGCTCTAGCCACAGGCCCGGGACCAGACAAAGCTCCCCCACCCCTTGGCTTTGGGCCTGATCCTGCCCATGGATGTCAGCAAGGAGGTTCGGTGGCCGTAGCCTGGGGCCCTCCTGGTGAGCTCTGTCGGGCAGCCCAGCTGGGGCACGGGAGCCAGGTGCTTGGAGAACCGCCGCTGAGCCGAGGCTGGTGGCTTGGACGTTTATCCCCCTAAGCGCACGGCGGGAGCTGCAGGCAGTGGGGCTTGTTTCCACGGCCGAGCCCCAGCACATTCGGCTGCGACCCTGAGAGCCCTGGTTTCGGTCAGCACAGTCAGAGCTAAGCTGGCCCCAGCTGCCCGCTTCCGGGCCTGTCCTTCCCACCGGTGCAAATCCGACCGGCTTCGCACCCACTTCGCAGAGCCCAAAGTAAAGGCCCCTTTTCTCCTCAGTTGCTTATTTCACTGACCCCAGCTGTGAGAGGCGCTCCAAGCCCACGCTGTGGGTGTGATTTAGAGCCCAGCAGTCGCCAGGCTGGGGGGCGGGGGGCTACTGTGTTGGGAGCTGCCTAGACACAGAGCGAGAGACAGTCCCTGCCCCAAGGACCTCGTGCTCTAAACAGACAAGACAAGGCGGGAGGGGAAACTAAGGCACAGAGAGCGGCAGGGACGGAGCCGGGAATAGAAGCCAGGTCTCCCACGTCAGGGGACTAACCAGTGCCCAGGAACCTGAAAGCTAGGAAACAAAAGTGAAAGTGTCGAGTGCATTTTGACTGGCAGCTTGAGGGCCCTGCGGGAGCGGGGGGAGGGAGGTTCGGGTTCTAAGTCATTTCCACTGACTCAGTGCAGCAGCCAGGTGCTGACTCAGGCAATGGGGCAAACTCAGCCCAGGGGTGAGGGGTTTGGTTCTGTCCCCCTCGGCCAATGGCTGCCGATCCCCCTCCCATTCTGCGTTTCCATGCAACTCACGCCCCGCTGCGCCGGGCCTCTCCTGACCAGCGCGAGGGTCTGCGCGACAAAGGCTGCCGTGTCTCAGTGCCCCCCTCCTCCCACAGCTGGGCGTGGGGCCGAGTCCTCTGTCTGGAGAGGGAGAAGCAGGAGGAGCAGAGGTTGGTGAAGGCCTGCCAGAACCTGCGGGCCTGCGTTGCGGAGGAGCTCTGCTTTGCTAACAAGGCACTGCTGATGGTAAGGCTGGGGAGAGCAGGGGGGCGCTGACCCTGGAGGGAGCCTGGCTGGGAAGGCTCGTGCTGGTAGTGGGGGGTTCCCAGCTGGCCGCCTTTCACACCCAGTTTGCTTGGTGAGAATGGGCCAGGGGACGCCAGGGGAGATCACCCACCCTAGGCATCGCCGTGGCCAGCTCCATCCGGGTCCCGTTTGCAACACAAGCCTCTGGCCCCAGCAGGGCAGGAGTCGGCTCCTCGTGGGTGAGGGGCAGCGGGATCAGGGCGAGGGGGCGGGGAGTATTTCATTTGGAGGGATACGGTCCGATCAAGTCACAGGGGAAATGCCCCAGAGCCAGCGGCCTGGAGAGCCCACCGTGGTCCCCCTGCGGCCTTCACGGATCCGCCCATCCCGCCAAGCGGGCTGCACCCCAGGTGGGAGGGAAAGGGCCCCTCGGGGCCCCAGTCCCCACACGCTGGCACAGGTGAGCAACAGCGGCGTCAGCAAAGGTGCAGTGCGAGGGGAGGGCCAGGCCTGATGCCCTGCCACACCCAGCCCACAGCTCTCCCCGCTGCAGGCTCAGCTGCTGCCCAGGCGGTGGGGGGCACTGGGCTAGTCCCCTTCCTGCTGGGGGCAGAGGGGCGTGGGCTGGTTTCCACCCAGCCCTGCAGCAGGCAATGGGACCAGGCAGGAGGCCCCAGCCAGATGCCAGGGAAGGGCAGAGGGGTCCTGGCTACTCACACAGCTCTTGGCCTTCTTGCCAGGTCCGGCGTGCAGCCCTGCGCTACCTTCTACACTGCGAGCACCTGCAGCACCTCCGCGAGCTGAACCATGGGGGGAAGTCCTTCTACCTGGAGAGGCTGTAAGCACCCAGCTCTGGGGAGCAGAAACCTGCTCACACCAGCCCCCTCACTCCACCAAACTGCGACCCACCGCGGCCCAGGGTTCCTTGGGACCCCAGGCTTTGCACCTCACGGCACTTGCCCATCCTGCCCCAGAGCCGCCCTCCCGATGGGACAGTCGTGGCTGTTGCTATTTCAGAGACAGCGACAAAACCTCCCGAGAAGATTAAAGTGTTGAGCTAAGCGGAGCAGCCTGAGGCTCTGGGGAGAGGCGGCGTTTAGATCCCAGCACGGGGGGTGGGGGGTGGGGTAGCCCAGAGGCAGCAGGAGACACCATGTCGTGGGGCAGATTTGAAGAAACTCCATGGAGTTAGCAGAGTCCTTGGCCTCTCTGCTGGGGCGGGTGAGCTCCCCTGCCACCCTCCCGCTAATGCTGCAGAAGCCCCACCAATGGGGTGGGAATAACTGGTGTAATGTGTGTGAGCATCTCCCGCTGGGGGGCAGCTCCCATCCGTGTGGGCACAGAGTCCTGCAGGCGGGCGGCCAGCCGGCTTCGGGGCACTCGGCACCATGATGCTGGGCCACACAGGGAGCTGGTTGTGTCACTAGAATTCCCAAGAGACCTTCCCCTCCCATCCCAGGGCCTCACAGAACTTTGGGCAGGAAGCCTCCCAGTGCCCTGGCAGCAGCATTATCAGCGCCGTATCGAGGGGAAACTGAGGCAGGGGGTGCAGAAGGATCTTGTGCCAAGATTACTCAGCAAGTTACAGAGGAACAGCCGTGTTAGTCTGTATTCGCAAAAAGAAAAGGAGGACTTGTGGCACCTTAGAGACTAACCAATTTATTTGAGCGAAAGCTCATGCTCAAATAAATTGGTTAGTCTCTAAGGTGCCACAAGTCCTCCTTTTCTTTCAGCAAGTTAGTGGCACAGACAGGTATAGAAGAGCCCAGGAGTCCTGGCTCCCAGTCCCCTTCCCCCACCACCAGCACCCCGATAACCCACGAGACAGCACTCCCGTCCCAGAGCCAACAATAGAACCCAGGAGTCCTAGCTCCCAGCTGCCCCTGCTCTCACCCACCAGCCCCCACTCCCCTCCCAGAGCCAGGGACAGAACCCAGGAGTCCTAGCTCCCAGCTGCCCCTGCTCTCACCCACCAGCCCCCACTCCCCTCCCAGAGCCAGGGACAGAACCCAGGAGTCCTAGCTCCCAGCTGCCCCTGCTCTCACCCACCAGCCCCCACTCCCCTCCCAGAGCCAGGGACAGAACCCAGGAGTCCTGGCAAATGGAATCCAATGACACCCCTTGAAACCATCCAGCAACTTGCAGGTGAACAGAGACACCCCGGGAGCCGCTGGGTGTCTGCACCTGTCATCTGTGAAGCGTCGGTGACACCTGGTGGCCAAGTGGGTTAATGCAACTAGAGGCAAGACCAGAGAGTCCCGCAACCTGGAGAAGCCCGGGGTGTGCCAAGCCCTGCTGTTGGGGTGCAGGGAGGGACCCCGGCAGCGCCGGGCCAGTGGAGATGCACTAGCAGCGTGGGGAAGCAGGGCGGCCAGGTCCCTGCATGCCAGAGCCGCAGCTGGTGGGCTCACTGCAGCGTAAGGCCCCTGTCCCCGGGGCTTAGCACCACCCGGGGTCGAGTTAGCTAGAGCTGTGGGGAACCTCCCCGAGCTCATCTGTGCCCCCAGGATTTCCCAGCTCCCGGGCAAATAAGCTCCCCCGCAGTGAGGTGCAAGGCCCCCATCGCTGGCTGGCTGGTGTCCAAGGAATCCTCCCCAGGATCCGGGTGGCCTCAGCTCAGGGAAGGGACGCTGGGGCTCAGCAGCGATGGAGACACAAGCTGTGGCTGAGGGGTGCAGAGGGAACTGGGGTGGCAGCATTCCAGCAAGGAGGGGGCTGGGCATGAGAGGAAGCATGTCTGAACACGCGACACATTCACACACATGTGTGTGGACTCACACGCATTCACATGCATGCACGCTGCCCCTGATAAGAGCCTAGTGCCCAGGTGCCAACCCGCATGCTCTGTGCACAGCTGCACTGCCTGGCTCTGTGCCCAGCCTGGCCTCACTGCGGCCCTGCCAGGTGCGATAGCCCTTGGCGCTCCAATCCCCGACCTGGGGGCACTGGCCAAAGCAGGAGACGCCACCCAGCACCGTCAGTGCAGAGTGGGGGGGTCCCAGCAGGGGGATCCCCAGGGTAGGGACTCGCCTCCCCAGGCACCCCCCAACACACATACATGCTCCCTTGCCGCACCCACTAACACTCCACCCCTCCACCCCCAACACATCACAGGCTCACAAACCTCACACACGCTCCCTCACACACCTCACACGCACACCCTCAGCGGCCATGGGCCTGTTCCGGGAGCCACACTGAGCCAGGCCAGGGCACCCGCTCAGCTGCTCTGGCTTGAAGGGCAGATAACAAAGGGTGCATGTCACGGGCCGTTTCCCCTGCCCCCCGACTTGTCTCCCCCAGCCCCAGCCAATTCCTACAGTCCAAGGCCAGAAGGAACCACTGTGATCATCTCATCCAACCACCTGGAGAGCGTAGGCCAGACCCCTGCCCCCAGGGATTCCAGATGGGACTAGACCAGAGCTTTCAGGGAACTGGCCCCGCTGGTGATGGAGAATTCCCCAAGTCCTGAGTCAATTGTTCCAGATGTTAATTTAAAATCTGCCCCTTATGTCCAGTCTGAGTTTGCCTAGCTCCAGCTTCCAGCCCTGGGATTGCGTCAGGCCTTTGCCTGTTCCCATGCAGCGACGGATCACCTGGGCTCTAGTCACCCCTGAGCCTTCGCTTTGTTCAGCGAAACAGATGGAGCTGCTGGAGTCTCCCACTGGGCGGCAGGTTTTCGCACCGTCCTTGCTGAGCCCTCTCCAATGTATCCACGTCCCCCTTGGACTGCGGGCCCCAGACTTGGACGCAGGAGTCCAGCAGCAGTCGCTTGGGGGCCAAGTCCAGAGGTCTCTGCTCCCACTCGCAATGCCCCTTTCTGTACCAGTCCTTCTGCTCACAGCCTCGCATTGGGAGCTCCCATTCAGCTGACGATTCCCCCGTCCCCCCAACAAGTCCTGCCCCAGGTCCTGGCTTCCCAGGACAGAGAAGCCAGGGGGGAGCAGGTTGTTTGGCAGGGGCACGCCCAGGCCAGGCCAGCTCATGGCTGAGCGCAAGATCGGCCTGTGGAGCCTGGATCCTCCCTGCCAATGGGGGAACAAGGCCCATCCCCTCCCCCAGGGACACCCCGATCCCCTGGGGAAAGGGGTCACACATAGAGGGGGGGCTTCCTCCCTGGCCCTCTGCCTCCCACCCTGTGCCCGCATGTAGCCCACAGGCCCCTCCATGGCACCTGGGATGGGTCACGACTGCAGCCTGGCCCTGGGGTCCCGGCACAGCATGTGTCAGGCCCCCTCAGGCCCTTGGAGTTCAGGCTGGGCGTGAGCAGTGCAGGGAGGAGACATGGGGGCGGAGCAGCATGGCCCCACATGAAGGGAGAATGCACGGAGCAGAGCCACCAGGCTACACGTGACACCCCCCACTCTGGCCACATGCTTGGGGGATGGAGCTGGGGGGGGCCACAGCCAGACACACAAGGGGTCCCGCAGGCCCGGCTCCACCCGGCCCCTCGTGTTCTGTTCTGATTGAGCAGGACGGCCCCCCCTTGGCACGGATGGGATGGGGCAGGTGGCACAGGCCCAGTGCAGAGGGATGGGGGGTGAGCCGTTGGCTGCAGTGAAATGCTGGTCTCACTCAGGGGTAGATCCCCCAAACACCCCTCTGAGTGATCTGAAACCATGGGCAGCCTTCCTCCCCACCCAGCTCTCCCTTGGAGCCCATGGGGCTGGCCCCTGGACACACCCCAGCCTGTGGCCCATGGTTCTGCACTTGGGTTTGTTGCCCCCCAATCCCAGTCTTTGTGCTGGGTCTCTCCCCTCGGCCTGACCTTGGTGGCTCCCTGCCCGAGGGGCCGTCAGCGCCCAGCCTGGCTCAGCGTATTGACAGGGCTGGGGCCAGCCAGCGGCACCCTCCCAAGAGGGGCTTTTCATTAGCGCGTCTGTCGGGTCACATCAGATCAGCCATCAGGGACATGCGCCAGGGCCCGTGGCCCCCCCCATCCTAGAGACCCACTCCCTCGCCCTGCCTGGGCGTGCCCCATCCACCCACCTTCGTCCCCAGCTGCTCGGCTCGGAGGTGGGCCGCTCTTGCCCTGCAGTGCCCAGCTTTGGCCCTGGAGATGGGGCCGGCTGAGCCCAGGGTGCAGAGCGAGGGGCCGTGAGCGGCTCATGCCCAGGATCCGTGCAGGGGGCCTATGCATTTCCCGTCCCGTCCTCGTCTCTCCCAGCTGGGGACAGGGATGCTCAAGGTCCCACAAGCCCCGTTCTTCCTTTCACATCTTCCCCCTCTGCGGGTGGGACCCAGCCCAGAGCAGCTCCCTCCATCAGCCAGCAGGAGGCGGTCACAGCAGCACAGGGACCGCTCCCCTCCCCACAGCCCGCGACAGCCAGGGGGACTGGGCCCCAGGGCAGGGCTGGGGAAGGAGCCCAGCAGACAGGATCTGCCAGTGGAGATCTGGGCTGGGTCTGGGGCCCCTGTGGCTGAGGGGGTGCTGGGACCCCCAGTTGCTGTGGTTGGGGTGGGGATGGGCAGAGCGGGGGGAGGGGGCTGCTCTCTGGCTCCCCCCCCCCGCCCTGTGCCATCTGTCGCTTTCCCAAGGTCAGTGCGTGCAGGAGCCTGTCCCGCCCCGGGGAAAACTCCATCAGGACAAAGGGATCAATGGGGCAGCGGGGGAGGGGGCAGCGGGAACTAATTGGCTGCACTAGAGCTGGGCCACGAGGAGGGAGAGCCCCTGATGACAACAGAGTAACCCCCCCAATGTCCCTGAGAGACAACCCCCCCGCCCCCTCCAGTCGCCAGCGAGGGGAGCACGGCGTGGAGACCACCATGAAGGGCCTGGCCATGCCCTGCTGACGCCAGCCGGGATCCAGGGCAAGGCCAGGGGAGCTGCATGGGGGGTAGGCACCCCGCTCTCTGTAATAGCCCCCTACCCTCAAGGGGGTGCCATCACCCCCTTTCACAGCTGGGCAAACAGAGGTGCAAAGAGGAAGAGGGACTTGGCTGTGGTCACCCACTTAGTCCATGACTGAGCTGAGGAGAACCCAGGAGTCTTGGCTCCCTGCTCCCCCAAAATCCAGGAGACCCCATGTCACGGAGTCCCCAGGCGATGTTCTGGAGCTGCTCC